TGTCTATAGATGTCTTCCTTTCTCACCACAGTGTCAAATGCTCTAAACTTCAGAACATTCGTGACTTGACCTGATCCTTCATCTCCTCCTTTCCCTACCTCTTCCCCTTTCCCATTTTTCTCCTTTTTCTTTCTTTAGTTTCCTTTCTTCTGCCTTAGTGTATTCTGTCCTCCCTCCCCCTCCCTGTGTTTTTGGTCCCACCCTTAAGGGACCTTAGCTCTCCTGCAGTGCTTCTTTTTCGTGTGCTTAGACTGACTCCATTTCTATTTCTACAACATCTCCTCCATTCTTCTACTATGGTTACTACCATTACTATTGCTTCCCTTCACCTTTCACTCCCCTTTCTCTTTCTTGTGCCACTATACTACTCTATCTACTCTCTTCTACCACTGTTACTTCAACTACTTCCACTACCACTACTAACTTTTTCTTAATTCCCGTCCTTGTTGCTCTCGCCTATATATGATGCTGGCTCCTTCACTCTTTTATTACTGTGATGACTTCATAAATGGTCCAAGTCGAACAGAAACGTCATCGTAAGCCTCTCTCTCCTATGTGTGAGTTACGTATGTATTGCTCCACTCACGGTAATGTGTCTTTTTTGTTCTTTGGGTTAGAGTAAGTGTTTACGCACCTCGAGAAGAGAGTAGTGTACAGGAGAGAGTTTTTTGGAAGATGTTAAGTGCTTAGGGGGGTGGATGTGGGTGTTGAATCAAGTGAGAGAGTAATTGTGGAGAGGAATCTAAATGCTAAAGTAGGAAAAACTGTTGTGGAGGAAGTAATAGATAAGTTTGGGTTGCCAGGGATAAATGAAAATGGGAAGCCTTTAACACTGAACTTTACATTGAAAGAGGCTTACCTGGAGGTTACCTGGAGGTTATTCCGGGGATCAACGCCCCCGCGGCCCGGTCCATGACCAGGCTTGATAATAAGTAATACATGTTTTATGAAAAATAGGATAAATAAGTATAAAAAATATAATGTAGGGTGTATTAAAAATAATTTGTAGGAATATGTATTGGTGGATAAAAGGTTGATGGGTAGAATTTAGGATGTGTATGTTTATAGAGGCGCAACAGATATATGATATCATTATTTAGCTGTAGCTGCAATAAGAGTAAAATACATGGGACCGAAAGAAAATGGCATCAGCGAGATTTTGAGAGAGGAAAGTTTATAAACTAATGGAGGAGAAAGTTAGGGTGAGATACTATAAGCAACTACTGGCAGACAGGTGGGCTAGTGCGAGTATAGGTAGTGTGGGGGATGAACAGGAGTGGGATAGTTATATAAATCCTGTGGGTATAGAGTGAGGGTGCAGGAGGAAAGAGGAGTAACTGGCGGAATGATGAGGTAAAGGATGTCATGAGGGAGAAATAGTAGGCTTATGAGAGTTTTTACAAAGTAGAAGTAATATAAAATGTGTGGAGTATATAGAGAGTAAAACAGAGGTGAAGAGAATGGTGAGAGAGTGGAAAAGTAGAGCAAATGATAGTGGGTGAGGTACTGTCAACATATTTTACTGAGAATCAGAAAAAGTTTTGGAGTGAGATAAATGGGTTGAAAAGGCCTAGGGAACAAATGGATCTGAAAATTAAAACACAATAGGGAAGTTAGTAGATGGGACTTGGAGGTATTGATATGATGGCGGGAATATTTTGAGGAACTGTTAAATGTTGATGAAGAGAGGGAGGCAGTGATTTCGTTCATTGGACAGGGAGGTATAACATCTTTTAGGATTGAAGAAGAGCAGGAGGTGAGTGTGGGGGAGGTGCGTGAGGCATTACCTAGAATAAAAAGGGGTAAAGCAGCTGGGTTTGATGGGTTCATGACAAATGTTAAAAGAAGGGGGGATATAAATTTAGAGAAGTTGGTATTTTGGCTCAATAAATGTATGAAAGAGGGGAAGGTACCTAGGGACTGGCAGAGAGCATGTATAGTTTCTTTATATAAAGGGAAGGGGGGACAAACGAGAGTGTAAAAAGTATACCTGGAGAGGGTTTGGGGGATCAAAGCCCTCGTGGCCCGGTCCATGACCAGGCCTCATGGTGGATCAGGGTCTGATCAACCAGGCTGTTATTGCTGGGCACACGTAATAAGCTTTACTCCTGGAAGACTACTTTGTATTAATGACTCTTCCTTTCTGCATGTAGTGTTTCTTCTCAGTTGAATCATCATCTACACTCCAGCCAACTTGGTTCACAGTACCATAAAACAGTTCACTTATGACCGTACCATTGTTCAACAACATACTATGCCTCTTCAAGGTCTCTGTATACAACTGGTATACAGAGTCTACCTGGAGGGCATTCCGGAGATCAACGCCCCCGCGGCCCGGTCCACGACCAGGCCTCCCGGCGGATCAGGGCCTGATCAACGAGGCTGTTACTGTTGGCCGCACGCAGTCCAACGTACGAACCACAGCCCGGCTGATCCGGCACCGACTCGCTCTTGTAGACAACCAGGGGTCTATCGGTAATGCCCTTTATGGCTGGCGGGATGCTGTTGAACAGTCTTGGGCCCCGGACACTTACTGTGTTTTCTCTTAGTGTACCAGTGACGCCCCTACTTTTCACTGGGGGTATGTTGCATCGCCTGCCAAGTCTTTTGCTTTCGTAGGGAGTGATTTCTTTGTGCAGATTAGGAACCAGTCCCTCCAGAATCTTCCAGGTGTAGATTATGACACGTCTCTCTCGCCTGCGCTCCAGTGAGTACAGGTCAAATGCTTCCAGGCGTTTGCAGTAGTTAAGGTGTTTGATGGAACTTATACGTGCAGTAAATGTTCTCTGTACATTCTCTAGATCTGCAATTTTACCTGCTGATAGATTTTTTTTTTTATTTTTTTTTTTTTTGCACAGGGTTTTATAAGGTTAGGTTTAGGGTTCCTAACTTTATTAACAAGTTAAGAGCTGTTGACTACATCACCTCATTTGAAGGCTTTTTTATTGTTAAGAGATACACAAATAGGGAACAGGATGAAGTTGAAACCATCTGTGGGTCAACTTAATTTTGTCAGCTGGCTTTATTTCGTTGATGTCGTTATGCTGTACGACTATATTCCAGACACGAGTCATCCTAGGAATAAATGTTGTGTTAATTTAGTTCTTGATGTACTCGGTGTGGAGCCACGTGTGGTACCTTGACAATGTTGGCTTCGTACATAACAGAAAGGCTACCCACATCCCCTCCTGTGTTGAAGACTCTGCTTAAGTGACGGATTTGTCCAGACTGGATCCAGGTGAGAGACGAGTCATTTGCCACCACTGACCATTGTTTGACACAGTTCTTGCTGCTAGCCAAGAAGTTCCTCTTGCTGGATAATGAACTTTCATCGTGGCAGCGAAGTGTTCGGCCAAGATGTCAGCTGTCTCCTGACTGCTGGTACAGGTGGTACCATTCAGCCGATGTAGAGGTGAAATAATTTCATCAGATGAATAACCTTGTCGTTCCTTGACCATGGACTACCAGGTTTTAGAGCTCACTCTATCTGATGCCAGCTTTCTTTTTGTATCAGCCTCCCATCAAGAGATGGCCCACTTTTGGAATACTTCCATTTATCAAAAGGCCTGTCTCATTCTTCCCTGATTCTATTATTTACATCACATTGAATCACGGTGGATCAGTACCAGACTACAGTACCAGACTACAGTACCAGACTACAGTACCAGACTACAGTACCACCCGCTGTTTCATACCTTGTGTTGGTAGTGTTGTGTGTGTCAACTTTAATTCACTTTTAGTTTCACAAGTCCGTCGTTTTGATTCAGTTTGGAAATACTTCATATCTGTGTATTTTATATTCAAGTAAAGTTAATATTTTTGGTGTCAGTACAATGGTACCTCGGTATACGTCCAGCTCCCAGCTCGAACAGTTATGCAAAGTGTATTTTTGTAAGTGCCTTTGTAAGTGTATTTTTGTAAGTGATTTTGTAAATGTATTTTTAGAGGTCTGAAACGGATTAATCTATAATACATTAGTCCTTATGGATACTCGAAGAGATCGGCACTTGAACAGCCTTCTGGAATTATTTAAGGTCGTATACCGAGCTACCACTGTCTTTAGTTCTCACCTGATTATAATTTTCATTCATTTTTTATTTTTCCGCTTTCTTTTCCTAAGATTTGTTGATGTGTGTTTGAACTTGTGAGACGGTGCGTTATTTATACCAGTCACAATAATTGACAGTAGGTGGGAAAGACTTACAATTTCTAAAGATATTTATTGCATTACTTTCAGCGTCTCAGTGAAAAATCAATCATTATCCTAAGGGTATATTGTATATTGCAATACACAACATCCAATAAACAGCATACAATATACAATGTACAAAATACAGTTTATAATATTCAGTTAAACTAGCCAAGCTGGGAGGTGTTGTTCCAATGTCGTACAGGAAATATACGATATTTAAAATTAAGGAGAGTTACAATTATGTATGAAGTATATTAGGCCATTATTAAAGTGTAATAAAGCAAAAGAAAAACATGAGAAATATTGAAAAAAATGAGAAAACTCACCACACAGAACGATTTGTTTATATGTTCTTGCATACACAGAATAACAGAAAACCAGACTCACTAAAAAAGTATTAACTAAAGATGTTTGATTGTGACGAAATTAATACCAGAAGTGTCGTCACTGAGTCCAAGTTTAAGATCTGTAATAATTAAGATCTATAGAATTCTTAACTCCAAATTATTTTGTGCCTTGGCTATAATTTAAAAATTATCTGGTTTTGAACCCCGGCCAGCTTTAATGTTGTTCATTGGTTTAAAAAACCCTTGTTGCAGGGGTTGCAGGGATTGCATTATGTAAGTACAAATGGGAATCGCTTCTGCCTCGCGCTTAGCAGACGGAGGATCAAGACTAACATAAATTATTTGTTTATTTATTCAAATAATGCATCGAAATTTGTTTATTGAATGCTGCTGTTCTAGTATTTTCCAAGAATGCACAAAAGCTACCAAAAACACAAGACTCCAATGAGATAGAACCTCACCAGTTATCACGAAGTGCAGACTCATTCTCATTGTTGCTGGCCCAGATGAGGATGCTGACGTGGTGTTGCAAGCGACGAACCTGAGTAGTCACCTCTCTCCTTACTGACTCCAAGAAATTCTGGTTTGCAGGGTACATGCTGCATGCAAACATGAAATCTTCCCAGATGAGAATACCCAATTCATCAGCAATCTGGAATGATTTCACGAAGTAATACAAACAATTTGAAAACTCTTAGGTAGAGTAGATGGATACATATGCAGTGATATAATTTTTTTACTGGAACGTTTCACACATCAGGCGCTATTCCAGACTAGTGTTTTCATCACAGGGACTCATTTAATATATAAAAAAATGAGGAGGGTGCGGATGCACTTCTTCAGACATAATGACTGGAAAGTGAAATGATATGGATAGATTCCAAACATAAATTTAGGAGTATGATAAGATCCATAATGTAGGGAAATTACGTTGATAGTTCATAAGTATTCGAGAAAATGGGCCAGGAACTGAGGCTCGTCCCATGTAACCACTTACAGGTTAACATCTGGGTAAAAGAAAGTGGTGGAAGTGTAATATTAGCTGGCTGGAAGAAAACTCTAGAAATACTTAAAAAAAGCAAAAGGAAATAGATTCAAACAGAAGAAAAGGATAATTTTTGCTGAAGAAAAGGGTACTTAAGCTCGGAAAGGAAATAAAGGTAAAATAGGGTGTGTAGAAAATGGGGTAAGGAACAAGGAACAGCAATTAAGAAGAATAAAGCAGGAACAAAGGAATCAGGATGGGACAGAGGAGAAAACTAATTAGCAGAGATACTCTCAGGAAGCCTTGTGACGAGAGAGAGAGAGGAAGGGAACTGGTGACAACATACTAGACAGTCTAGCGGAAACCATAACGGGAGACTAAAGTGGGAGTTCATCGATGAAATACAGATTTTAGGAGGCTGATAGTATGTCAGGAACAAGAAAGTGGAAGAAGAAGGAACATGAGTTTATGTAGTTGATTGACTGTACATGACTGGACTAGGAAATGCAAAACTATGATGGCAATGAAGATGTGATATTCTAACTTTTTAACATATCAAAAATTTAAATATACTAGAACTTAATAGTCATAGCAAACAACCTATAAGGAGTAAGAAAAACTGAGATAATATTTTAGTTGTTATTTTGGTTTAAAATATCCAATACTGTGACAATATGTGTGTTGTGTTAAATAAGCCGCATCGGGGAGTTTAACCTAAAAAGTAAGGATCATTTCTGCTGAATAAGCAGAGTGAAAAATTAATTATGCAATATTTCTTTAAAAATCAATGTCAATATACAAAAAATATATATAGCATTGATTTTAATAGATATTAAATGAAATTAAACTGATCCGTGATTCATATACTAAAACATAGTTTAAAAAAATTACGTTGTTAGGTTAGGTAAGGTTTCTTAGATTTGGTGACAAACAAAAAAATGTACACCATATTTAATGAAAAAATATACCTATTAATACATAGAATAAAATATGGAAAAGAAAATTTTTTGGAGCAGGTCAGTCTAATGAACCAATACAAAATTATATATTGTGTGTGTGTGTGTGTGTTTAACAATTCGCAAATTGGAGAAATTATTTGCAGATATTATCTCCTAGTCTTCAACAGGATTCGAACATGCACACTCTGAATCAAACGTTTGACAATGATACAAGCAAATAAGAAAATAAACATAAAGAATTTCGCATTTATACCACTGAATATTAGGCTGCCTTACCTCATAAAATGCATCACTCTCGTAGATGCCTCCACCCCAGACACGCATACAGTTCTGGTGTGTGTCTGCGGCGGCTTGTAGCAGGTAGCGAGTGTAGTCTACAGTGACGGATTCTGGCAACACATGGGCCGGTATCCAGTTACTGCCTTTCATGAACATTGTTACATTGTTCACCAGCACCCGGAAGTGTCGACCTGCAGAGAAAGTTACACATGAATATTGTTCACCAGCACCCGGAAGTGTCGACCTGCAGAGATAATTACACATGAACACAGTTATATTGTTCACCAGCACCCGGAAGTGTCGACCTGCAAAGATAGTTACACATGAACATTGTTCACCAGCACCCGGAAGTGTCGACCTGCAGATTATTATAATCATGGAGTAGCGCTAAACCCGTAGGATTATACAGCGCATGTGGGGAGGATGGGAGGCATTCAGGTTCATTTCAGGGAACTGGAGCACAGATCCAATTCCCTAGATCAAGAGCCCCTCACCAGTGTCAAGGAACCTCCCTTGAGGGGTCGACCTGCAGAGATAGTTACACGTGAACATTGTTATATTGTTCACCAGCACCTGGAAGTGTCGCCCTGCAGAGATAGTTACTCATGAACATTGTTACATTGTTCACCTGTACCCAGTGAGGATCTACATGGTCACATTGTTCACCCGCACCCGAAGAGACCACTCTAAAACTTGAGAGATACTTCCTAACATCTCTGACTTGTGTTCAGCTTCAAGCTGCGACCTCGTGTTCCTGTTTCCCGTCTATCGAACAGTCTGTCTCTCTCCAACCAATGACTTCCACCAGTTACTTTGTACGTCGTTATCAAATCACCCCCGGTCCTGTCTTTTAATGTCATCAGGAGTAACTGATTTAGTTTCTCCTCACAGTTTATATCATTTAGCTCCTGGACTTATCTCGTTACAAACCTCTGCAGTGTCTCTTGACATACTTGATCATGGGGATGAATACTGCAATACAGAGCTAAAAAAATGCTGTATATAGTACCGTGAATGACTCCTCTTTAGGTTCCTGTGAGCTGTTGTTAGATTTACCAAAGGTATGTTTGCTGTGGCAGTAATTCTCCTAGTGTGCGCCTCCGACGATATTAAAAGGATAAGAGCTCTTATCCTACCTTAGCTCATTATGAAGCCGAACCTTATCTAAGATATACTAACATCCTCGGGGCAACAGCCGTAAAGAAACATGCCAAACGTTTCCAACCGAACCCAGGATTAAATCAGGGACCTTCAGTATATGAGCTAAGGGCCCTACCAGCTGAGCCACGAGAAAGCGGAGGTCCTCCCCCTTGAGTGACGTTTGCAGCTTTTACCCCCCCCCCCTCACCCCCTCCCCTCCCTCTTTCCACATAAGCCTGTACTTTGTTTGCCGTTTTTTTTTTTTTGCCTACCCGAAATCTTCGAAACATTGCATTTGCTTGGGTTTATTTCTAACAGTAGGCCCCACAGTCTGAGTATATTTGTAACCTTCCTTGGTCATCACCTGCTTTTATTCTCCTCATTAGTTTTGTATCATATACAAACAGGGATGCCGCTGACTATCTCTTCCGTCATATTATTCACGTACATAATTTTTGGATAATCACTCGTTGTTTTCTTCTGTTAAGTATTCTTTGATTCAGTACAGTGTCCTCCCTGTTATTCTTGCCTGCTGCTCTAGCTTTTGGCCCATTCTGTTTTGATGAACTAGTCCAAAAACATGCAGTCCTCGAATGCTCTCTCTCTCTCTCTCTCTCTCTCTCTCTCTCTCTCTCTCTCTCTCTCTCTCTCTCTCTCTCTCTCTCTCTCTCTCTCTCTCTCTCTCTTGCCTCATTTCTATTACTTTGTGGTAGAACTCTAGTAGGTTTGTGAGACAGGATTTACCATGTCTAAAGGTGTGCTGGTTGTTGCTTATGAAGCCTCTCCTTTCCAGGTGCTTCAACACACTTTTAATAATCTTCTCAATAACTTTACATACAATGCATGTCAGTGATATTGTTCTGTAGTTTAATGCTACCTTTCTGTTCCCATTCTTAAATATTGTTATAATTTGTTATTTTCCGCACTTCTGACAGTTGCTGTGTGTCGATTAATTTGTTAAAGTTTGTAAACAGTTGATCATACAGTTCTACCGCTCACTTTCTCAGTACCCATCTAGATAAGTTATCTGGTTCATTTGCAATCAAGGCATTCAGATGGAACAATGATAAATTAGACACATGTGCAACACTTGGGTATCTTTAATAAGGAAACGGTGGCTAGGCTTCCATAAAGTGATCTGCTTTCTGTTTCTGGCAATTTTTATTCTGTCTCTAAGCTGTTGACTCTCCTTTTCTGTTCTGTCCCGATCGAGATATGCATGTCGATATCTTTCTGACTAACCTAACTGTGGATAGTGCAGAGTGCAGTATAAATTTGGAATACAGTGGTAAAAAATGAAGTGAATCAGAAGAGTCCTTCACAAGTCATTACATACATACTAATATCTAAATTTAAAAAAAATACAAACCAAATTTAATTCAAACCTTTCATTAAAAACGTGAATTTTAAGGCTAAACTTAAGCAATCTCTTGTCTCAAAGAGACTAAATACATAAGAAGGAACACTGCAGCAGGCCTACTGGCTCATGCGAGACAGGTCCAATTCTCCTACCGGCTTAAGCCAACGCCCAAGCCACCAGCACAAAGACTGAAGGCGCTTAGAAGTTACATTTGTCAAGCTATCAGCATGCAATACTTACAAATGATGAAATAAATAATAGAATTTCAATTTCACAAATTTCTTCCAAACTGGAAAATGGAATTGCGAAAGCCAAAATCAGCGCAAACTTTTCTCTCAGTAAGACTGATCAAGTTTGTAAGCAAATGAGCAATTATTAAAGTTTTATTTAAGCTTCGCGTATTAATATTCCAGTTTAATCTTTTATTTTTCTGTAGGATACACAGAGGTTATAAACATAAAAATACACGATGTTAACTTAACCAAGAAAAATCTAATAAAGTCAGACACTATGATTTATTTCAGATCAGATGAGACGTTCACTAATTATTTCAGAGTAACCGATCTGATTAATAAAACTGTTATATTATAACTTACACAACCAAACATCAAGAGATTAATATCTTTAAGGAAAACTTATTAGCACTAAAAGTGTGAAGCCGATCAGCAGATGCATTTTCCATTTATTGCACAGAAACCATAAAAAATGAAACGTTGCATCAGTTTCATACGCCGCATCGGACATTAAATACTGATGCAGTTGTCAGTCTTACAGGACGTGATTCGATGCATTAAAGCAAGATATCGCAATAAAATAAATAATATAGCATATTAAGACTAAAAATGGGAAAATTCCAGCTACACCCTCCATTAACAACACCAACTTTGTGAACACGATACACCAGTTTACCTGGAGTTTACCTGGAGAGGGTTTCGGGGGTCAACGCCCCCGCGGGGCGGTCTGAGATTCTGAAGTTGATCAGAGGAGACTTTCTCTACTTATCATTTGGAAACAAAATATGGGAATGGCATAGGTAAATTTGTGCAGATGGCAGCCATGTTTGTGCAGATGGCAGCCATGTTTGTGCCGATGGCAGCCATGTTTGTGCCGATGGCAGCCATGTTTGTGCAGATGACAGCCATGTTTGTGCAGATGGCAGCCATGTTTGTGCAGATGGCAGCCATGTTTGTGCCAATGGCAGCCATGTTTGTGCCGATGGCAGCCATGTTTGTGCCGATGGCAGCCATGTTTGTGCCGATGGCAGCCATGTTTGTGCCGATGGCAGCCATGTTTGTGCAGATGGCAGCCATGTTTGTGCAGATGGCAGCCATGTTTGTGCCGATGGCAGCCATGTTTGTGCCGATGCCAGCCATGTTTGTGCCGATGGCAGCCATGTTTGTGCAGATGGCAGCCATGTTTGTGCAGATGGCAGCCATGTTTGTGCAGATGGCAGCCATGTTTGTGCAGATGGCAGCCATGTTTGTGCAGATGGCAGCCATGTTTGCAAAGTCACTTGAATTTTGCCCCAGAGTCTGTACACCACCGTTCAAAATTTGAAACCGATCTAATAAAGCGTTCTCGAGTAATAAACGATAATTTTGAAGAAAACAACAATTTTACTGAGAATATTTGGAAAATAGAAAAATCTCCAATCGTTAGATTAAAAATTGTCATAAAAATTTTTATTTCAATTTTTTCCCATTTATATTGTATTCAGAATGCATTACACTCCTGTAAAAACTTTTTATTTTGAATCTTCCTAGAAATTCCAATTCAATATAATTTGCTAAAAAAAAAATGGCAAATTAGCGCCCACACAGCTCAAAAATTAACTATTAAATTTTTTAACATTTTAATAAAATTTAAAATTTCCACCTTATAATAAAATGCATCATTAAAATTTTGAAGCCAATCAGAAAAAAACATTCTTCAGTAACTGAATGTAAATGAATTTCGCTATTTACGCAACTAAATGGTAAATTGGGACATATGTCACCCAATATCAGCGTGAAGATTGTGTTCAGGAGACCACAACAGTGTGAAGATTGTGTTCAGGAGACCACAACAGTGTGAAGATTGTGTTCAGGAGACCACAACAGTGTGAAGATTGTGTTCAGGAGACCACAACAGTGTGAAGATTGTGTTCAGGAGACCACAACAGTGTGAAGATTGTGTTCAGGAGACCACAACAGTGTGAAGATTGTGTTCAGGAGACCACAACAGTGTGAAGATTGTGTTCAGGAGACCACAAACAGTGTGAAGATTGTGTTCAGGAGACCACAAAGTGTGAAGATTGTGTTCAGGAGACCACAACAGTGTGAAGATTGTGTTCAGGAGACCACAACAGTGTGAAAATTGTGTTCAGGAGACCACAACAGTGTGAAGATTGTGTTCAGGAGACCACAACAGTGTGAAGATTGTGTTCAGGAGACCACAACAGTGTGAAGATTGTGTTCAGGAGACCACAACAGTGTGAAGATTGTGTTCAGGAGGGCCACAACAGCGTGAAGATTGTGTTCAGAAGACCACAAAAAGCGTGAAGATTGTGTTCAGGAGACCACAACAGCGTGAAGATTGTGTTCAGGAGACCACAACAGGTGTGAAGATTGTGTTCAGGAGACCACAACAGTGTGAAGATTGTGTTCAGGAGACCACAACAGTGTGAAGATTGTGTTCAGGAGACCACAACAGTGTGAAGATTGTGTTCAGGAGACCACAACAGTGTGAAGATTGTGTTCAGACCACAACAGTGTGAAGATTGTGTTCAGGAGACCACAACAGTGTGAAGATTGTGTTCAGGAGAAACCCCAAACAGTGTGAAGATTGTGTTCAGGAGACCACAACAGCGTGAAGATTGTGGTCAGGAGACCACAACAGTGTGAAGATTGTGTTCAGGAGACCACAACAGCGTGAAGATTGTGTTCAGGAGACCACAACAGCGTGAAGATTGTGCTCAGGAGACCACAACAGTGTGAAGATTGTGTTCAGGAGACCACAACAGTGTGAAGATTGTGTTCAGGAGACAACAACAGTGTGAAGATTGTGTTCAAGAGACCACAACAGCGTGAAGATTGTGTTCAAGAGACCACAACAGTGTGAAGATTGTGTTCAGGAGACCACAACAGTGTGAAGATTGTGTTCAGGAGACCACAACAGTGTGAAGATTGTGTTCAGGAGACCACAACAGTGTGAAGATTGTGTTCAGACCACAAGAGTGTGAAGATTGTGTTCAGGAGACCACAACAGTGTGAAGATTGTGTTCAGGAGACCACAACAGTGTGAAGATTGTGTTCAGACCACAACAGTGTGAAGATTGTGTTCAGGAGACCACAACAGTGTGAAGATTGTGTTCAAGAGACCACAACAGCGTGAAGATTGTGTTCAAGAGACCACAACAGTGTGAAGATTGTGTTCAAGAGACCACAACAGTGTGAAGATTGTGTTCAGACCACAACAGTGTGAAGATTGTGTTCAGGAGACCACAACAGTGTGAAGATTGTGTTCAGGAGACCACAACAGTGTGAAGATTGTGTTCAGGAGACCACAACAGTGTGAAAATTGTGTTCAGACCACAACAGTGTGAAGATTGTGTTCAGGAGACCACAACAGTGTGAAGATTGTGTTCAGACCACAACAGTGTGAAGATTGTGTTCAGGAGACCACAACAGTGCGAAGATTGTGTTCAGACCACAACAGTGTGAAGATTGTGCTCAGGAGACCACAACAGTGTGAAGATTGTGTTCACGAGACCACAATAGTGTGAAGATTGTGTTCACGAGACCACAACAGTGTGAAGATTGTGCTCAGGAGACCACAACAGTGTGAAGATTGTGTTCAGGAGACCACAACAGTGTGAAGATTGTGTTCAGGAGACCACAACAGTGTGAAGATTGTGTTCAGGAGACCACAACAGTGTGAAGATTGTGTTCAGGAGACCACAACAGTGTGAAAATTGTGTTCAGACCACAACAGTGTGAAGATTGTGCTCAGGAGACCACAACAGTGTGAAGATTGTGTTCACGAGACCACAATAGTGTGAAGATTGTGTTCACGAGACCACAACAGTGTGAAGATTGTGTTCAGACCACAACAGTGTGAAGATTGTGTTCAGACCACAACAGTGTGAAGATTGTGTTCAGACCACAACAGTGTGAAGATTGTGTTCAGGAGACCACAACAGTGTGAAGATTGTGTTCAGACCACAACAGTGTGAAGATTGTGTTCAGACCACAACAGTGTGAAGATTGTGTTCAGGAGACCACAACAGTGTGAAGATTGTGTTCAGACCACAACAGTGTGAAGATTGTGTTCAGGAGACCACAACAGTGCGAAGATTGTGTTCAGGAGACCACAACAGTGTGAAGATTGTGTTCAGGAGACCACAACAGTGTGAAGATTGTGTTCAAGAGACCACAACAGTGTGAAGATTGTGTTCGAGACCACAACAGTGTGAAGATTGTGTTCAGGAGACCACAACAGTGCGAAGATTGTGTTCGAGACCACAACAGTGTGAAGATTGTGTTAAGGAGACCACAACAGTGTGAAGATTGTGTTCAGGAGACCACAACAGTGTGAAGATTGTGTTCAAGAGACCACAACAGTGTGAAGATTGTGTTCAGGAGACCACAACAGTGTGAAGATTGTGTTCAGGAGACCACAACAGCGTGAAGATTGTGTTCAGGAGACCACAACAGCGTGAAGATTGTGTTCAGGAGACCACAACAGTGTGAAGATTGTGTTCAGGAGACCACAACAGTGTGAAGATTGTGTTCAAGAGACCACAACAGTGTGAAGATTGTGTTCAGGAGACCACAACAGTGTGAAGATTGTGTTCAGGAGACCACAACAGCGTGAAGATTGTGTTCAGGAGACCACAAACAGCGTGAAGATTGTGTTCAGGAGACCACAACAGCGTGAAGATTGTGTTCAGGAGACCACAACAGTGTGAAGATTGTGTTCAGGAGACCACAACAGTGTGAAGATTGTGTTCAGGAGACCACAACAGTGTGAAGATTGTGTTCAGGAGACCACAACAGTGTGAAGATTGTGTTCAGGAGACCACAACAGTGTGAAGATTGTGTTCAGGAGACCACAACAGTGTGAAGATTGTGTTCAGGAGACCACAACAGTGTGAAGATTGTGTTCAGGAGACCACAACAGTGTGAAGATTGTGTTCAGGAGACCACAACAGTGTGAAGATTGTGTTCAGGAGACCACAACAGTGTGAAGATTGTGTTCAGGAGACCACAACAGTGTGAAGATTGTGTTCAGGAGACCACAACAGAGTGAAGATTGTGTTCAGGAGACCACAACAGTGTGAAGATTGTGTTCAGGAGACCACAACAGTGTGAAGATTGTGTTCAGGAGACCACAACAGTGTGAAGATTGTGTTCAGGAGACCACAACAGTGTGAAGATTGTGTTCAGGAGACCACAACAGTGTGAGATTGTGTTCAGGAGACCACAACAGTGTGAAGATTGTGTTCAGGAGACCACAACAGTGTGAAGATTGTGTTCAGGAGACCACAACAGTGTGAAGATTGTGTTCAGGAGACCACAACAATGGTGAAAAATTGAAGTAACTCAGAAGAGTCATTCCAGAGTTTTGTTAATTCAATTTTTTTTTATTTTACGAAAGTGACAAATTTACTTTCACCCAATTTAATTGACATGATTTAATTAGAATTAAATTTTCACATTTTTTTACGCATAAAAATGTCAGATCTGTAAATTCATATCTGAATTTCACTTTTCGCCAACATTAAATTAAGAAATTATTGGAATTATTTGTGGAAGTTAGGAATTGGCTTAAAAGCTTTGCTCAGCCAGCAGCAACAGCCTGGTTGATCAGGCTCTGATCCACCAGGAGGCCTGGTCACAGACCGGGCCGCGGGGGCGTTGACCCCCGGAACTCTCTCCAGGTAAACTCCAGGTAAACTCACGTGCACATGCCAATTGTTTCGAGAATTTGGTCCTCATTACCGTACAAAAACATTATAAATTTGAAGCCAAGTGAATGAAACATTTTCGAGTCATAAACGAAAGAAAAACGGAAAGTTTAAGGAAGTAGAAAAACGAAAGAAATACAATTCTTGTAAGAACTTAAATGTACCTTCAGGGATACCTAATAAGATCAAAATAATTAGAACACACAGAAGTGAACTTCAGTCCTCAATAACTCGCTTACCATAAAAATTCTAACTAAATACAAAAAATACTTAAGAATTTCACTATATTTCATAATTATTTGTTACAAAATAAGGATATCTTTCATTATTTTTTTGTTTTTTTCTTTCCATTAAACAGTCTTCTATTTTTCTCATAAATAAGCGGTACCTTGGTTCAATATATAGTACAACCACACACACACACCTCAAAATATTTTCAACTCATTACAGAGACCGTTCCAGCACACGAGAATCAGAGGATTTCACAGCTGATCCAGCTTACATATAAAGGTCTACCCTCCCGGGCTGAATGGATAATCACGGGCAGGTGACAGCAAAACCCTAACTATTTTCCTGGTTACTTCTCTGTTAGCCCCTCAGTGAACTGGTTAGGAATGGTTGGCTGTCATGAGGTGCATATGCTTACAAACCATACCATGGGTGGGATTTGAACCCGCGGTCAGAGAGTCTCAAAACTCACGCGACGGTCTGGAGTTTTGAGACTCTGACCGCGGGTTCAACTTCCGCCCGTGGTATGGTTTGTTTGCAGTCGTGTCATTACGATTTCGTGAGTCGTGCATATGCTTCACAATCAAGCAAAATGATGGTCCTCATAAATCTAAATAACTAATCTTTGCAGTCATTTTTAACTCATTCACGATGAGTTCTTAAGTACACAGAGTCAGCAAAGAATTCCACTTATTCTAACACAAAGCTTATTAGAGTTTCAAGCACTTCTCTGACACTGTTGTCGGAGCTGTGAGTCACGCGGGTTACCATGACAGATTTGTATAAGATACAGTTTATATACCTGCACAAACGAAGTACATGAGAGGACATTATCATGGCATATAAAACCCTCACGGATATTGAAAACGAAGGCGAGGACAGATATTTTCCTAAGGGAGGACCTAGACAGAGAAAATGCAAATGACAGGTAATCAAACAACGGAGTCATACACGAGTTTCGAAACACTGCTGTAAACTAACAGTAAAGAAGAGGAAAGATTAAGACGATACATCTGAAGCCCATTAACAATAAGTATTCAAATGTAAATTCGATAGTGCTTATTTATGATAGTCCATCAAAAATTAAAAGACTTTGCTAATAGCTTGAGCTCACTCCACGCAAACTCAAATAAGTCTGTTCTCACAGTGGTTAAAATATGATTAAATAAGTTTTTATGTCCTTATTTAACCCTGTTTGCGCCTGTTCACATTTGCCGTCTGAAGGGCTTTCATATATCAAATACTTCGAATGTTGAATATAATTTAACCTTAACTAAACAATAGCTAAAGAAACCACTGTCACCCATTACGAGTTTAGAACGTCTTGTGAGTCCTGATCATTAATATAACGTACCTTTTGTCTCATCACTGGAATCAACAAAATCCTGGTTTAGCTCGACTGTGCGGAATCCAACACGAATACTCTTGCTGGAAGTTTCGGATTGATTTTCATCAGTCCACAGGACGGTTATATCATACAGTGGCTGAGAACCATAGCCGTTGGGCCACCACATCTCTACCTGACCCTGTAAGACCACAAGTATAATGTCATTGTTTGCATATCAATAAAAATTTTGATGTGTTGTACTAAACGTAGACAAAGGCAGTATTAGGCGATAATTTTTTGGCTACGTTTCGCCCACACAATGGGCTTTATCAAGTGACTTGATGAAGCCCACTGCGTGGGCGAAATGTCAATAAAGGATCGCATTATACTGAATTTGTGACTATTTTTCCATCATGTCAGTATTTTATATCATTAATCTCCATCTGTGTTGTACACTGCCGTTGTACACTGCCGTTGTACACTGCCGTTGTACACTGCCGTTGTACACTGCAGTTGTACAATGCAGTTGTACACTGCAGATGTACACTGCAGTTGTACACTGCAGTTGTACACTGCAGTTGTACACTGCAGATGTACACTGCAGTTGTACACTGCAGTTGTACACTGCAGATGTACACTGCAGTTGTACACTGCCGTTGTACACTGCCGTTCACTTTACAGGTTAGTAAAAGCCGTAACAGCGACACAATCACCAGTTTTTGTGAAAATTTTTGGATATTACCAACAGCTAGTGGGCAGCTCCAGCTCTTGCGCAAATCAGTTGATTATCAATGTACTCTGGAATTCACTGTGAACTAATATAAACAATTCTTAAGAAGTGAGTGACATGAAGATCAATGGCCCAGCATTTCTGACATTACTGGCCCCTAACACAAGCTGATGGCTATAGGTACTTTTTAAAATCTCGTGAATGGGTTCCAGTTGTGGCTTTCACTAGCCGGTCCAGTAAGAAGCAGTCTCTCGCTGGAGAATTCTTTTACCCTTCTGTTAAGAAAACTAGTTAGATGGGCTGGTAATCACAGGATTGACTGAGCAGAGGTTCTTATGTCGTTCAATTAATAATTTTTATATTCCGTCTGCAAATTTTTCAATATATTGGTAGTGACTTGGTGGGCACAATAGCTAGAGTTTGTCTTCTGGATGTTGTCAGGTCAAAGACTCTTAATAAGAACTCATGATTGTTTCGTGACTGGAAATAAATACGCTGAGTCTTAAGGTAGAATTTTCCACTGAGAAAGAATTTTGTACACTTTGTGGTTGAGTGGGTAATGTCGTATACTAGTACGTAGCTGTAAGAGTACCGGTTAGATTTTAGATTTAGATTATCACAATATTGTGAAATTCTAATTTTATTTCAATTTAAAGTAATTTAATATATTTATACTGAAAATAAACAGAGAGAATAGCATGTTAATTGTGGAAATTATATCTAATCATGAGATAATAACGCAAAATTTACTCGCCTCATCAGTGGTGAAGGTGAAGGTCATCTGGGCTTCATAATCTTTCACTGTAACATTGATAAACTGGTGTTGGGTGTAGATGTTTGCCAGGGTGATGCTGACGTTGCCAGCTATATAACCAGACTCAACAGCGGCATCACACCACACCTGGCGGCCAAAACTGATGTTGATTAAATCGGCAATATTAATAAAATATTGTGCATGTAAATTCAAGAATTATATGGATTACAATGAATGAGGGATATGAAAAAGGGGTTATAATAAGTTTCTATTCTGCTGGAGGTAAGAGAAGTGGAGAGAGAGAGAGAGAGAGAGAGAGAGAGAGAGAGAGAGAGAGAGAGAGAGAGAGAGAGAGAGAGAGAGAGAGAGAGAGAGAGAGAGAGAGAATCTGGAAACATTTAGCCAGTGTTCAGGTGGTTTTTAAACTAGATCAAAGAACGTGTGTTATGAGAGAACTAAAGTGGATGAGACTGTGGTCGAGGACGTAGTATGTACGTTGAAAGAGACAAGGCAAAATAATAAAGTAATGGCAGCCTACAAATGTGTATGTGACAAACAAAATAGCTACGTAATAGGATTGTTTGCAAATTTGCAGTGTCACTTATTTTAATACATGATTTAGTTTAGGAGTTATTTGGAGTTATGATTAACACATTATTGACCTATACCACCCAAACTGCATTCATGGCTGACAAAACATTAGTAATCAGTGTAAAATGAGATGTTTTGGAAGAGTGATAGGACTAAGAAATATTTAAAATGCAATTTCCAAGGAGAGAAACAATGGAATAATTTTCGCCCTAATGTACACACAGTCGTCATTCAATTTTAAGACCAGTGCTGAAATTTTAGTTAGAAATAGATTTTAAATATATGAAAATTATTTTGAGGAGATTTTGCCTTGAAATTAGAAGAGTTAATTATATACTTATTGTACTGCAACTTTAAACATTAGTTTAAAAACAAAAATAATATGCGATTTGTTTTCTTTTATGTCCAATTTTTTTTGGCGTATTTTGTAGTACCACAAAAACTAAAATAAGATAATCTTAATTCTGAGGACATGTACATAACCTTCACGACTACGACAACTACTACTACAACTAACCCATCTCTTTGGGAAGGACCTACTTCCACTGGGGAATCCCGCCTACCAGTGAATATGCCCTCGTCTGCTACACCTGACGTTACTATATAAGCGCCAGGATCCTTTCTTCTGCTTCAGAATCTCCACGACTATGGTGCTCTTCGCACCTACTCCTAGGTTGAGGGACTGATTACCTCATCTTCTGTACATAGTTCTACTGTCTTCAAGTTATGTCCTAGAATTTGTATTGATAAAGCCACTGGATGGCGAAACGTCTACAATAAAGATACCCAGATGTTGCACATGTGTCTTAATCTCATCAAGATAATTATCGATATAACTTTACAGGATATGATGTAGATAGCAATAACAGCAGTTTGTTAGACTTAGTATTAACAGGAAATTGATAGTTTGGTTTCTGGTTGTATCTGTATCCTTAGTTGAAGCTTTGCTCATAGGGACCAATATTCTAAAACACACCAGCACAGTAAGTTTGAAGTCAGTCAGAAAGTGAATCATTAAACTTTCACTATTGAAATGTGAAGGTATTGATAAGACACTCGGATATTACAGCATGCAAATTAGTATTTCAATTTTGCCCATTTCTGCTATTAAATATAACAGGAAATCTGGACCAGCACAAGCCAAATTGAATCGATTTTTTTCTTAAGGAAGATTTACGAATCTTTAATGTTAAGTATTCACGTACGTCAGTATTTACTTATGTAAGTATTTACTTAAGGTTTACTATGAACATTAAATAGATTTAGCCTAAGATAACCCAATATAAGAAGATGAACAATGACATTCTTCTTTTTCAAGGAAATCAGTTTCACTAATAAAACTGTCAGACGAGTGTTTCAGAACCTTAAAAATCTCACCATCGAGAAGCATTTACGCATTACCTCGGTCTGAGCTTCAGACACGCCGTTGCTGGCGTCCAAAATTTCCAAAGACAAGTTTGCGGAATGACAGATGTACCACTTTACTACTTGTGATAATGTGTGTGGGTCGTGTGGTGGAAGTTCTTCGTTTCTATTTTTTCATAATTATCACTAGGAATATTTTCTTCATGTGACTCCTGACTGCGCATGTGACTCCTGACTGCGCATGTGACTCCTGACTGCGCATGTGACTCCTGACTGCGATATGCAATGTGTTGTTCGAATTAAAACGAAGAGTAACGTTTTGCTACAAAATGAAAATCCATTTCACATAAAAACTAATCAGTAAATTGAAACTACGACAGAAATAATGATAAATACACAGAATTGTTCTAATTTCCATATAAAGATCTACGAATCTTACCATAGTACTAAATTATATCAATTACCTTCACAGTAACTATCCAGCTTGGCTTCAGATCATGATCTGGCACACTGGGAAGTGATGTGCCAGGCACTGCTGAGAAGAATACGTCACTCACCAGTAGTGTATTCCAGCCAGTCAAGTGCCACTCTTTCCTGTATGATACACAAAAGAAATATACTATCATGATTTAAAATAATAATACTTGCTTCATAAAGAAAATATATCCATTGATAGGGAAACATTTCTTTTAAATCAAATAAACTATGCAAGTGAAGCAACTAACACAGAATGTTAGACATTGCAATATTGGTGGATACTTCAGTACTTTATTCCTGCAGACCGACACTCCAACCTTGTTCAAATACGCTTTGAATTATTGTTAAAATATAAATTTATTCTCATCCATTCATTCTGCAACATTTCAGCTGATACCTTCAGTTTATTCTTTAACATTCCAACCACAACCTTTATCGGATTAATGAGTTTAACAAAAATTATTCTGACATCTTATGACAAACATTTGATAAATGTAATTTTTCTATTAGATGAATTAAGATGTCTGTTTAGTACACAAATTAATAAAAGAAAAGTTTTCCAAATTCCATAACTAACCATAAGGAAATAAAGAGCTGTTAAAACAATGATGCATTTGTAACATTTGGAAATCTTTATAAGGGCAAAAATAGAATACTGAAGGAAAGGAGGTTATCAGTTACTTTGTCTCGTAGAATTAGTGATGTAGAATTATTGATGCTGTTATAGGGCTGGTTTAGTGTTTTTGAAAAACATAACCTTAAAGATTTATGGGATCTGGTGATCCCATTTTATGAGGCACATGTGTTGCCTGCTCTACGTTTAAAAGGTGTTGTGGGGGTCTTGGTGGGGAAGTCCTGCCCTCATGGTGAGAATGGTGGGGATGGTCGCATTATACGTGTGGATGAAGCGTGGCAGGATTCCCCTGTCACTCATATGTGTATACATCAGTGGATGGCAATTGAAGGGTTAAAAATAATTTTGTTAGGGAGGATTTAGTATTTTTATTAGATCATTGCCGGCGTTAGCCTTAATAGGGAGTGACTGGAATTGTGCGGCTCAGATGGATGTAACCCCAGGAGAGGCGGGGCATTATTTCCTGGTTTTAAGCGAGTTGTTACGTGATGTGTACTTGAAAAATGTGTGTTGCGTGTCAGAGGGGGTACCAGCCCGCACATATGTGGAGAAGGATTATGGGGCAAAATTGGACAGCTGCTTTTTCAGATGAAGCAATTCTAACGGAGGTAGGGTGGGATTTATTGGCGGTGCGGCACCAAGGATACTGGAAATTGAATACTAAGGTTTTAGGGGATGAAGAAGAGGTAGTGAGTTTTGAGGGATGGTGTGCGGTACACAAATATCAGGGAAGTGATGAGGTGTTGGTGGGACAAGGTGAAGAATCCAACGATTCGTAAGTTTTATATAGGAGAAGGTAGAAAGCTGAATACTGTAAGCTGTGGGTTACTGAATAATTATGAGAATCGATTGCGTCAGTGTCATAGGGAAGGGGTATCTAAGGGGGTGTACCGTATGGATGAAATAGAAGGTTTGAAAGTTTTAATCAGGGTTTGCACAATTAGTGGTGTGAACCAGTGCGTGTTCACGCGGCGGTGGATGTGATGTTATGGGGAGACAAATCTGCGTGCGTTACTCGCACACCAACAAAGGAGGCAGGCGACTACTATTCCATGTCTAAGGTGCACTGTACTGTGGAAGGCTTCAGGGAAGGGCAAGTACTGCAAACCGCTGACGCAATGTTTTTTATGTGGACAGGTGGAATGCAAAGTAGGGGAAGAAAAGGGTAGTGGAGAGGAAGGCTGTGTACGATATCTATAAGGGAATTTCGTTTAGTCTTAATGGGACGGACTGGATAGCGTTAGGGAGAGCTCTGGAAGAGGAGGAAATTTGTAGAGCAATGTCGGAAATGACAAATGGCAAATCCCAGTGGTTTAATGGGATATTAGTGGAACTAGGAGTTGCTGAAGGTTTTTTGGTACGCCTCATGAATACGATGAGAGAGGAGGGTAGGTTGGGTCCTGTTGTTGTGCTCGTCCTAACGGGTAACAAGAAGGTAGGAATCTGACATTATCGTTCTATTTCGCATTTGTGTGTTGTAGGTCGTGTTGTCACACCGGGTCAGTATGGTATTCCAGGAAGATCCGTGTTAGCTGGTCATTTTATTATTGATGATTTTGTGAGAGCAATGCAGGAGCAAGGTATGAAGGGTACATTATTCTCCCTTGATTGGAAGGATGTATATGATTCCGTGGAGAAGGACACTATGCATAGTATCGTACTTACAAACGGGTTTGGAGAGGATATTGAGGTAGGTAGATACATTGGTTTAGAAAGAAACGTAAGCAAACACTATAACATATTTATTAGAAAACGTTTCGGTCCTGGGACCTTGATCAAGGTCCCAGGACCGAAACGTTTTCTAATAAATATGTCATAGTGTTTGCTTACGTGTCTTTCTAAACCAACTTGTCGGTATTTATTACCAAGGTTTATACCAGGTAGATACATTGTATGGTGGAGCTATGGCTAGAGTAAAAGTTATTGGTAAGCTATGGGGACTGTACCCGTGAGTAGAGCAGGGTTATCCATTGTCTCTATAGGCTGGTGATGGACAGGATTTTTGGTGTGGTGATGAACAGGTGGGTAGCAAATTCCTAAAGGATACAGCGTAACATTTCTTATCAGCCGCATGGAGTCCAGCCTTATCGCTTAATTTTACAAAGGGTCATTACCGTGAATGCTCTTCTGTATAGTAGGGCTTGTTTTGTGGCTAATGTTTACCCTTGAACTATTGTTTTTTTTTTATAACGTTTTTACAGGGGATATAAATGCTCCAGTGATGGTGTTATACCCGCTGTGCGATCAGCGCACATTTGAGGGGAAAAGTTGTTGTCGTATTGCGCTTCCCTCCGAAGGTATGTGGAGTTGTGTAAGTTTTTGCATGGTACTCTCCCAGCTGGAGCGTTGTTGCTGTATCGGCAAATTGTGGTGGATGGACTTTGTGGAGTGTGTGGGGAAGCTGACACTGCATTCCACGTGTTATACTTCTAAGGGCGTTATGAAAGGCTGCAGACATTGCTGGCTCGAGTGTTAGTCTTAATAACGGAAATAACCTTTAATAACTGAAATAAATTAGAAATCTTTGTAATCATATCAATTACTTGAGAATGTCTTTTGTTATCGGCTTCAAACTTTTGCCATTAGTAGTAGTAGTAGTAGTGATATAATAATAATAATAATAATATAATAATTAAATCATTATTTCTACAAGTATATGATACAACTTTCACCATAGCTGACATCAGTGACATACTATACAGAAAGCCAACAAGCCATACCACAGGTGGAGTTAGAACCTGCGATCAGAGAGTCACAAAACTCCAGCACGCCGCAATAGCCACTGGACCAGCTAGCTACAATAAGATTCATCCAACTAGGTATATTTCTACACCATAGGAAGGTTATCATAGTCACCACTGTGACCACAAATGCAAGTTTTACAAAGGAATCTCCCGCTAGCGTGGCTGTGACAAACCCCGCCCGTGGTTTGTTTGCAATCGTGTCATTACGATTTCGTGAGTCATATAGAAACCCCTTGTTATGTAGATCATTTCTGACAAATTAAGGTAATTTTGCCTTCAGGATGCGACCCACACCAGTTGGCTAACATCCAGGTATCTATTTACTGCTAGGCAAACATGGGCAGCAAGTGTCTTTAGGAAACACGCCTTAATGTTTCCTCCCGTTCTGGGGATCGTTCCACGGACCTCAGTGTGTGAGCCGAGTGTGTTAGCAATCGAGCTACAGGCTTTAGTACAATGCCTGTCACTCACCATAAGGTATGTGAAATTTCAATTAGATAATTTTATTAAATAAATTATCTCCAGTTAAAGAATATCTCTGCCGTTCGTCTTCAAATGTTGATGTTTCTTAACTGGAAGCATTTTTCAATTTATTTCGGGCTTTGAGGGTGCCAATTTGCTCAAGTTTTACAATTATATGAAAGTGATTCAATGTGGCAGTTGATGTTTTGATGCCTGATTTGAAAATCTTCCAAACTGGCAACAGGTTCATCAAGATATGACATTCCCAGTCAAGACCTGAAGTGCTGTCTCCAACTTCCTGCTTCCATACTGTTACGTTGTTTGTCGACCCCACTAAGAGGAATACAGACTCAACTGTATCTGCAGGACATTCACGAAACTTTCGATTGAAGTTTTGTCTCAATTGTTGAAAACTAGATTTAGCTGAATCTGTACTCTGATAAACACTTATTTTTCCATTCTTCCCTGGAGTTTCTTACTGAGTCCATCGGCATCCAATGAACTGTAACTTTTCAATGGCTGCTAGAAGAGTGGATGATTCATGGTATATATCACCACTGAAAAAATAATAAAGACATATGAGACATAGAATGCATTATAGCAGTGCACAAATCTCCAGAGAACTTAAAGACAGGTATCAAGATGATAAATTAGACACATGTACAACACTTTGGAATCTTTAATGAGGAAACGTTTCGCCACAGAGTGGCTTCAACAGTCCATAGAAAGGAGAATGGTGAAGAACAGGAGAAGTTTGAGGTAATCAGTCCCTCAGCCTTGAGTCGATGTAATCAGTCCATCACTCTTGAAAAGAATACAGCATATGCTGTAGGCAGGTGAGGTGCAGCAGTATCACATTTGACAAATCCAAATGTGGAAGTAGGTCATGCCTAAAGGTTAGGCAAGGGAAGAATTCCATGTATTAAGATCTCAAGATGTTGCTGTGTCTGACAGGAATGTAGATGAATGGTTCAGAGAACCGACATGTCTCTAATTTATCAACTTGTCGGTTCTCTGAACCACTCATCTACAGGTTTCAATATGCTTTGATTTTAGTTTCTGTAATGTTTGTGCTGAAACTCTGCAGCCTCGCGGACTGTGGTTTCTCTAATAACTGTTATAAAATATTCATACGATCTTTTTCTTCTGCTTTGTCCAACATGTAAATTCTGTCCCTCAAACAGAGCCAAAATGAGACTGAAATAAAAACTTACCGTTATTAGGTTTCCATAAAAGGCGAACTTTATGTTGTTGCTCCACCGAGAGAGAATTTACAGTAGGTGCCAATTTTATTTTATCTAACTTAGCCGATCTTTTATTAAATGTTAAGAAAAATGTTTCTTTTTTATGAAATTCATTTGATCTGTAAGTACAGTATTTATGGTCTCTCGACGTTGAAAGTATTATCTTCCTTGTTTATCATTTTATAACACATTAATTTACGGGCATGAGACAAGGGTTTTCAAATAATTTATGTACTGTCTGGAACAAAGAGAAACGTATCTGATAATGTTCACATAGAAAATATTTAAAAGTCAGACCTCCAATCTACATACTGCCAAACAACTTGCCAGCGTGAGAAACAAACCCAGTAAAGAGCAGAGGTACCATTGGCAAAATTATTGTACACTGTGTCAACATTCGTGTCTATGACTCTTCGCCATTCTGCCAGAAGATATAAGAAATATTTCTGGACAAGATATAAAAGTGTGCGAGACGAATCATGACCAGTTTCTGCATGAAGTGCCAGATCAACAAGGTTGTAATAGCTGACTAATCAGGTAGTGATCAAGAAAGTTGGTTTAGAAAGACACGTAAGCAAACACTATGACATATTTATTAGGAAACGTTTCGGTCCTGGGACCTTGATCACTTTATACCATCAAGAAAGTTAAATCACAATACCGGCTGATGAGAAGACGAACCTTCGACACCGATCACAAGTATATCACAGAGTGGCAGAAGAGTCCTAATGTGAGGGAGAGGAGCAAGTGTCCAAGATGAAGTAAGAGGGCAAGGGTTTAAAACAGTTAAAGATTTAAAATAGTTGAGTTATATTATTAGATAAATGGAAAGGGCAACACGAGTTCTGGTGAGAGAAAGAGTAGGCAAGAATTCCATAGAGTGACAGAGGGGAGTGTGACACTAGGTTTAGAGAACAAACAGATTTAGGAAGAATTCTAGGAAAAAGAAGAGAAACAAGAAGTACAGAAAAAAGAGCAGGAGGTCTAGGGAGAGGCAGAAGTCTATATGTTCTACGGAGAAAGACAAGAGATCTAGAAAGAGAGCAAGGCAAAAGTTTTAGAGAATTCGAAAGATTTCTGGAGAAGAGCAAGAAAAGCTGCATGACTTGGCAAGCTGCTCACCAGATTCCCAAGTTGGGGAAAGCTGGTCCCCAGTCCCAGCTAAAGGAAGCTTGCATCTTGCGGATGTGGTTGGCATGGCACACTCCCTTGGAGGCAGGATCCACACACGTTGGGGGCACCACGTAGTCGGCAGCCTGGGCCTCGTACTGCCTCGCTGCATACTCCACGGGAGACTCAAACTCAACTTGCAGTGTGTTATCCTCAGACTCCTTAAAATGCAAAATAATATTTAGCTACTGTTATTAATCGTGAAGATGATTAGAAGTATAAAATTAAATAAAAGAGTATGGTGAAGAGTGGTTTATGTACAGTAAACATTGCTGAAAACCTTTCACATATTATATTATTTGCATATACATTAAGCATGTAAAGTTTTGGACTTATGGTCAGAATACATTCTGCACTAGATTTTATACAAGATGATTCTACTGCATTTTGATATACGATTGATTTGAATGTAACTGATCAATATTATTATTAAAATCTCGTAAATGAATAAACTTAGCATTTGAAATCTAGTTAGATTTAATGATACATATGAAGTTTCAGTCTTATAAGCGTATTTTTAATTCTGGCGTACGCAAAATTTATTACATTTTGTACAATGGATATTACAGCCAAAATTATCTAAACTTTGAGAGGTTCTTAATCCGAAAGATTGTTTGTCATCTCATTCGTTCCATCTTTTGTCCGGTGTTCCCTTTGGTTTTGGGGCTATACATGTTTGATTATGGGTAAAAAGAAGTCTTTAACACCTGAAACTATAGCTCAACTCATAGGACTTCACAAAGCTGGGCACCAGACGAAAGAAATAGTTCAGAATGATGGTGTGTGTGAGCGTTCAGTGAGGAAATGGGTGCAGCGTTTCAAGGCTGGTGGCGGTGTCGAGTTACCGTCTGCCAAACCTCGGCAGACGGTAACTCGATACGGTAACTTTGTTCGTACCTTAACTGTATTAAAGAAGCAGGTAGAGAGTACACCTAAGATAACTGCTAGAGAAATTAAAAAAAAGAACCCACATCTTCTCTCAGAGGTGTCTGTAAGAACTGTTAGTAAACGTGTGTCAGAACTGGGCTACAGTAGCCACCACCAGGTTAAGAAACTGATCTTCTCCAAGCCACAGAAGAAAAGTGGCTGGATTATGCAAAGAAATACCTTCGCTGGAATCCTCAACAGTGGTCTGAAGTACTTTGGAGTGATGAAGCAACCTTCACCGTCACCTGTAACCGTGGGGGACATGTGTACCGGCCCAGAGGTAGTGACTCGCTAGACCAGTGTTATTCACTAATTTTTGCAAGAGAGCCACTTCGGTTAAAACCCTTTGAGGGTCGACAGGCCCTCTCAGAAACTCGTTCTCAGGGTCGGCCAAATTTAAAAAAAAAATTATTTTTTTCTTATGAAAAGATAGAGAATCTTTTCCCGATCATAATGACATTAAAATTATGTGATTTGATGGAAAACTTACTTGATTGAGAGAGCCGCAGCTACTGCAAGTTAGCGTAACTCAACTAAATTAAGTAGTACTGAGTTGCTAGTGTAATATAGTAAATGAGAAAAATTAGACGTGGTAATATTAGCCTGCATACCTTGTTACTAATAGCAAAATAAAGACCAAACTTACTTAATGCTGTGATGAGCGGAAGTGTGCTAGCTGCTGCTTAACTCTTGTCATGGAATACTTGTAGTTTGTCACTGCAATCCTTGTAAGACAATCCAGATGTGCATTGGTCAGTTTGTTTCTCTGTTTTTTTCTTCACAATTTTCATTGTTGAAAATGTTGATTCACATGTGTATGTGCTCACAAAAAAAGACATCACCTTTTGCACACACTGCTTCAAAGATGGATAGTCTGTGTCAGGGACCAAGTTCCAGAAGTGGTAGACATCTGCTTTGTGTTTAGCATTCAGGGCTTTAAGGGTGTCATTTGTTTGCAGTTCAACAATCTCACATTCCACTGCAGCACGATCAGGGCAAAGATCTGTGATAACTGAGGTTTGGGATGACACTGGTACATGGAAGGGGTTTTCAATGAAATTAAAAAAAATCCCTGTACTCCATTACATCCTGAAATCTTGACTGAAATTCCTCCCTCAACTCCCTCAGTACTTCCTCAAATGCATCATAGTTGAAACATTGCAAATATTCTGGATCATTTATGATGGCTGTTCTGAGCTTTGGAAAGTGAACAAATTGCCTGTCTGGTATGAATAGTGTAATCTTGTTCTGGAATGCAATGACTACACGCAGCATACTACCTGGATGTTTATTTTTCCCCTGCAACTGTAGATTCAGTGAATTCAGATGACAGGTGATATCAGTCAAAAGAGCCATCTTCACACATCTGTGCTTTCATCCAATGCAATGCTAAAACATGGTGCAGCTGATAAATCTGCAATCAACTGGCCACGAATGTCTTTACCAAGTTCTTCTACCCTTCTCATTACTGTTGTGTCTGATAGCTGTAGTCCTCTAATTTGCTTTATGATTTCATCTTTGTTATTAAAGTCAGCGTACATTATTTCAGACGAGGCCAAAAAAAAACTTTAATTATTTCTGCGTCTGTAAAGGCCTTCTTATGCTTAGCCAAGATCCATGCAATTTCAAATGACGCCTCTGTCAAATTTTCAGCAGTAGAGGTCGATCTGTGAATCAGTTTTTGCTGTCCTACTATCAAGGCAGTAAGTTGCTCAATTTTATTTTTTCTCAGGCTACTCCCAGGCGGGTACGTCTTATTGAAGTTTGGATGTGTTGTTTTGACAAATTAAACATAATGAATTTGTATCATGAAGCACGAAGGCAAATTCTTCCGTCCATTTTTCTTGAAATTTTCTATGTTCATCTTGTATCGCTCGTACCTTTCTCTTTTTGGTTACCTGTCCCTCACAGTCTCCTTGTTGACCATTCGTTTCCCCTCCATCCTCCTTTTCTACTGGTCGGGTCTGGGATGGCTGTTCATCACTATTGCGTTTTTGTTTAACCACAAATCGATCCATCATAACGGACACTACTTGACTGCACTTTGGTTTCAAGTAAAACTAGCCCATCGTAGCTACCTTCCACAAGCAGCAACAGTTAAGTCGTTACTTTCATATATGTTGCCGCAGTCTCAAATATCTGTTGCCTATTTTCAAACACAAATCTCCAAGAGTAACGAAATACGTCCAGTCTCCCCCGAAATCTTGAACTCAACTGATTCAGCGAGACCACCGACGCCTAGAGCTAAACGTGTCCCTGATCAGTTTCCCGTAGTGGACACGTATGATTTCTGTACGACTAGGGTAGGGATGTTAGAATGTTATCTCTTACTGTGACTTCGTCTTCCATCTCACCTCATGAAAATATGTATCTTACTTGAAAAATTATTTTTCTAAATATTTTTTTTATTAATTAATTTATATATTTTTCGAGAGCCGCTAGACCCACGCTACACCTGTGGGACCACCAAACACCCAGACTCTCTCATGGTTTGAGGGTGTTTTAGTGCTGAGTGTGTTGGTGAACTCATTATGCTTCTCAAAAACCAGTATATGAACCCGTGTAATTATCGGCAGTTATTGTGTGACAATTTACCTGAGGCATTTGACAAGTGTGGGGCTACGGTTTTTATGCAGGACGGTGCACCGTGTCATACCACCAAATCTATAGTTCATTGGCTGAAGGACTGTGAAGTGAGGTTCTTTAATGACTGGCCAAGCAATTCCCTAGACCTAAACCCTATTGAGAACCTCTGGTTAATAGTAAAATGAAGTTTACTGGGCAAGGATATCAGTTCCGTCCCGCAGCTGGAGGCTGCTCTACATGAGGCATGGAATAATATACCTCCTCAAACCCTCAAGAATTTGTGTGAGTCTTCCTACACGGCTGAGGGACGTGATTAAGCGTAAAGGACGCAGCACCAAGTATTAAAAGCTCAGTAAGTGTGATCTTTCATGGTATGTGTTTGTGTTGCCGTGACTAGCACTGTAGAGGAAAATTTTGCTAAACACTAAATTTTATTATATTATACATGTGAATTATTAATACACAGTGAACAAAATTAATAGGGACCTTAAGGTGTTGCTTGACATCATATATGTATCTGACGAACATGTTATCAGAGGTGCCCACCACCTCGTCATTGACCAGCACCCGGGCAGCTGTGTCAAGTCCCTCGAAGATGAGTGCCACACGTTCGTGCCCCAGCAACGCTGCATCACCTGCATCACAACACAGCTACTCAGCATGACAATAACGTGGGATTTAGCATAACTTTGATAAATATCAGAACTAAACGCAAAACTTTCGTTAATGTAAAATAAGATAATACATAAAAGTACCGTTTCGTAAGTTCTTTTATTTAGATGATCAGTTGGACAGGAGCTCGGCACCTAGGAAAAAACTTTTAACAAATTTGAAAAACAAATCTTCCACTACTAATGGTACTATTATTAAAACTACTACCACAAGCTTTACCACTACTACTACTACTACTACTGCTGCTGCTGCTACTACTACTACTACTACCACTGTTATTACAACTACTACTACTAATAATAATATTACTCTAGTTATCATTACAATTATTATCAGAAAACCTATTTTTATCATTTTTATTTTCGAAGGCTAGGCGATGTACTAGAAAGTTCCAGCTAAAAAGTTTAAAAAGAGAAGCCTAGAACACGCTTAATTTTCTGAATTTGTTGTTGGTTGTAAGTCATGTTTTTTTCCCCAGACGGTAATTCTAAATGTAAAAGCGTAAAAAATTAAGTGTTAAAGGCCCAGTGAGGTATAATACATAGTTTACGTTCTCAGTATTTTGTGTGCTTTGATTAAAGAAAGTATATGTATGTATGATATATATATATATATATATAAAATATATATAATATATATATATATAATATATATATATATATATATATATATATTATTTTATTTTATTTTATTATCACACTGGCCGATTCCCACCAAGGCAGGGTGGCCCGAAAAAGAAAAACTTTCACCATCATTCACTCCATCACTGTCTTGCCAGAAGGGTGCTTTACACTACAGTTTTTAAACTGCAACATTAACACCCCTCCTTCAGAGTGCAGGCACTGACTTCCAACATCTCCAGGACTCAAGTCCGGCCTGCCGGTTTCCCTGAATCCCTTCATAAATGTTACTTGCTCACACTCCAACAGCACGTCAAGTAATTAAAAACCATTTGTCTCCATTCACTCCTATCAAACACGCTCATGCATGCCTCCTGGAAGTCCAAGCCCCTCGCACACAAAACCTCCTTTACCCCCTCCCATCCAACCTTTCCTAGGCCGACCCCTACCCCGCCTTCCTTCCACTACAGACTGATACACTCTTGAAGTCATTCTGTTCGCTCATTCTCTCTACATGTCCGAACCACCTCAACAACCCTTCCTCAGCCCTCTGGACAACAGTTTTGGTAATCCCGCACCTCCTCCTAACTTCCAAACTACGAATTCTCTGCATTATATTCACACCACACATGCCCTCAGACATGACATCTCCACTGCCTCCAGCCTTCTCCTCGCTGCAACATTCATCACCCACGCTTCACACTCATAATAAGAGCGTTGGTAAAACTATACTCTCATACCTTCCCCTCTTTGCCTCCAAGACAAAGTTCTTTGTCTCCACAGACTCCTAAGTGCACCACTCACTCTTTTCCCTCATCAATTCTATGATTCACCTCATCTTTCATAGACCCATCCGCTGACACGTCCACTCCCAAATATCTAAAATACTTCACCTCCTCCATACTCTCTCCCTCCAATCTGATATTCAATCTTTCATCACCTAATCTTTTGTTTACCTCAAACCTTACTCTTTCCTGTATTCACCTTTAATTTTCTTACTTTTGCACACCCTACCAAATTCACCCACAATCTCTTGCAACTTCTCTTCAGAACTCCCAAGAGCACAGTGTCATCAGCAAAGAGCAGCTGTGACAACTCCCACTTTGTGTGTGATTTTTTAAATCTTTTAACTCCACGCCTCTTGCCAAGACCCTCGCATTTACTTCTCTTACAACCCCATCTATAAATATATTAAACAACCACGGTGACATCACACACCCTTTGTCTAAGGCCTACTTTTACTGGAAAAAATTTCCCTCTTTCCTACATACTCTAACTTTAGCCTCACTATCCCGTAAAAACTCTTCACTCTTTCAGTAACCTACCTCCTACACCATACACTTGCAACATCTGCCACTTGCCCCCCCTATCCACCCTGTCATACGCCTTTTCCAAATCCATAAATGCCACAAAGACCTCTTTAGCCTTACTAAATACTGTTCACTTATATGTTTTCACTGTAAACACCGGGTCCCACACACCCCCTACCTTTCCTAAAGCCTCCTTGTTCATCTGCTATCCTTTTCTCCGTCTTACTCTTAATTCTTTCAATTATAACTCTACCCTACACTTTACCAGGTACAAATCAACAGACTTAACCCCCTATAATTTTTTTCACTCTCTTTTATCCCCTTTGCCTTTATACAAAGGAACTATCATGCCCCTCTGCCAATCCCTAGGTTACCTTACCCCTTCCAACATTTATTAAATAATTGCACCAACCCTCCAAAACTATATCCCCACCTGCTTTTAACATTTCTAATCTTTTTCCCATCAATCCCCCGGGTGCCTTACCCCCCATTCATTTTGCCTACGCCTCACGAACTTTCCCCCCCACTCACAACTGGCTCTTCCTCACTCCTACAAGATGTTATTCCCCCTTGCCCTATACACGAAATCACAGCTTCCCTATCTTCATCAACATTTAACAATTCTTCAAAATATTCCCTCCATCTTCCCAATACCTCTACTCTCCATTTAAAAAACTCTCCCCTCCTATTTTTAACTGACAAATCCATTTGTTCTCTAGGCTTCTTAACTTTTTTAATCTCACTCCAAAACTTTTTCTATTTTCAACAAAAATTTTTTGATAACATCTCACCCACTCTCTCATTTGCTCTCTTTTACATTGCTTTCACCACTCTCTTAACCTCTCCTTTTCTCCAAAACCCTTTTCCTCCTTAAAATCACTTCTACTTTAAAAAAACTTCTCATATCAAATTTTTTTTCCCCTTACTACTCTCTTTACACATCATTCCCCCAATCCTCCTTTTCCGCACCCATTTCCCCTGTAACCACAAACTTCTCTGAACACCTAACACTACTTTTTTAAAACCTACCCCATCCTCTTCGCCCCCATTGCCTAGCTCTCATTCCCCATCTATCCTCCAATACTTTTTATATCTACCCTAACTCCTCCCTTTTAGTTTAAAACCCCTTCACCTCTCTCTTCCCGATGCTTCATTCTCCTTGTATCCCACTACCTTTTACTCTCAGTGTAGCTAAACAAAAGTAAACTGATAAACGGGGCCCCCTCTATAAACATGTACATCCTGAATCTACTCAGCAGTTTTTTATCTACCAATACATAACCAACAAACACTGTCTTTTCCCCCTACACATATCTTGTATACTTATTTACCTCTTTTTTTTAAAATTTTATTCCCTATAACAAACCCCTTTTCACACAAATTTTCAATAAAAGGCTCCCTTTATCATTTACACCTGGCACCCCAAAACTTACCCTACCACCCCCCTCTAAAATTTTCCTTTTTAGCTTCGGGTCCCCTCCCACAATTACTCCCACTTGGAAAAGGGCCCTATACATTCCTTTAACACCCCCAAAATCCTCTCTCTCCTCTGCTTTCCTCTTTTCTCCAGTGCTACACGCTATTAACCCACTTTCGCACCCAAACCTTTACTTTAATCCACATAATTCTTGAATTTACACTTTCATATTCTCTTTTTCTCCTTCCCTAACTGATCATTTAACTTTCGCTACCCCTTCCTTTCTCTAACTCCTCAATACTCCCGATTAATCCCTTTTTTTCCCCCCCCTAAAACCCCCTACCCCCTTCACTTTTTTTCGCTTTGCGCCAGGACATCCAACTTCTTTTTATTCATAACATCAGCAATCATCTGTTTCTTGTCATCCGCACTACATCCACGCACATTTAAGCAACCCAGTTTTATAAAGTTTTTCTTCTTCTCTTTTTTTAGTAAATGTATACAGGAGAAGGGGTTACTAGCCCATTGCTCCCGGCATTTTTAGTCGCCTCATACGACACGCATGGCTTACGGAGGAAAGATTCTTTTCCACTTCCCCATGGACAATAGAAGAAATAAAAAGGACAAGAGCTATTTAGAAAAAGGGAGAAAAACCTAGATGTATGTATATATATATATGCATGTGCGTGTCTGTGAAGTGTGACCAAAGTGTAAGTAGGAGTAGCAAAATATCCCTGTTATCTAGCGTGTTTATGAGACAGAAAAAGAAACCAGCAATCCTACCATCATGCAAAACAGTTACAGGTTTTTGTTTCACAGTCATCTGGCAGGACGGTAGTACTTCCCTGGGTGGTTGCTGTCTACCAACCTACTACCTATATATATATATATATATATATATATATATATATATATATATATATATATATATGCAAAACAACCACTCTGAAAGAATAGACTACTGAAAGAATGTGACTACTCACATTATCAAGGAACTATGATAATGTGAGTAGTCACGAAAGCGCTTGGAATTTCTCTATTCTTTCAGAGTGGTTGTTTTGCATATTCTGAAATCACCTGTTTACTGTGATCTTATTGCATATATATATATATATAATATATATATATATATATATATATATATATATATATATATATATATATATATATATATATAGATCGATAGATAGAGCGGACTTGCCAGCCAGTAAGAGTCATCTCTATATGATCAAAAACCTCCACGAAGCATTTCATTATATGTTTGATTTGCTTCTGGAAGTTACTAACATTTTGACAAGCTCTAACCTCGACCTACCTGTTATAAGAGAGGTGTAGGTCCAGTTTTCTTCAGCGACCCAGCGGTAGTCGAGGTCATTGTAGCGGTAATAGAGGTCACCTCCGGTGAGAACATCAGCCAGAAGCAAGTCTGAGTACACCCCACCAGGTACTGTCCCGCTCACTTCCACCGCTATACAACACAAGTGTCTTAGTGCATAAGAACAGTGGAATGTTGGCCCATACAAGGCAGGTCCAATTCACACCCAACCATACCCATTCATGTACCACTCCAACCTATATTTAAAGCTACCCAGAATTCTTGCTTCAATAACGGTACTCGAGAGTTTGTACGACTCGTCTAAAACTCTGTTGCTACACGGGTACTTCCCATATTCATTCTAAATATAATTTTGTCATCTTAATCCATTACTGTGAGTTCGTCTTGGTCAGATATTTTTAACACGTTAATGTTTTCAATTTATACTCGTCAGTTATATATCCTTAATTCTACGTTTTTCAAATAAGTGCGGTTTTAGTGCCTTAGTTTATCGTCGCATTAATAGCTTATATTGCATGGGTTTAACTTTATATTGCATGTGTTTAACTTTATATTGCATGGGTTTAACTTTATATTGCATGGGTTTAACTTTATATTGCATGTGTTTAACTTTATATTGCATGTGTTTAACTTTATATTGCATGTGTTTAACTTTATATTGCATGTGTTTAACTTTATATTGCATGGGTTTAACTTTATATTGCATGGGTTTAACTTTATATTGCATGGGTTTAACTTTATATTGCATGTGTTTAACTTTATATTGCATGTGTTTAACTTTATATTGCATGTGTTTAACTTTATATTGCATGGGTTTAACTTTATATTGCATGGGTTTAACTTTATATTGCATGGGTTTAACTTTATATTGCATGGGTTTAACTTTATATTGCATGGGTTTAACTTTATCATCGTTCTCTCTATATTTTCAAGTGTATTTAAGTCCATTCTTTAATATGGAAAATAAAACTGGACAACATAATCTAAATAAAGCCTCACCGACGACACTCTTCATAAAATTGAAAAAGAATTTAAGTTATTTATATATATTGATGTGAAGCTAATATTTATATTAACTTTATTGGGAACACTTTTGTGCCGTTGACTTGCCTGTTAACTTGCCTGTTAATTTGCCTGTTAACTTGCCTGTTAATTTGCCTGTTAACTTTTCTGTTAACTTGCCTACTAACTTGCCTGTTAACTTGCCTGTTAACTTGCCTGTTAACTTGCCTGTTAACATGCCTACTAACTTGCCTGTTAACTTGCCTGTTAATTTGCCTGTTAACTTTCCTGTTAACTTACCTACTAACTTGCCTGTTAACATGCCTACTAACTTGCTCTAAAGTCTTTTTTCTGCATTAAACGTTAATAGGATCTAAATTATTTAGTTTTTAAATGCATTCGTTAATTTCTTTTCCTTGGAGTGCAACTTTGCAATTGTCTCCGACCACAACATCTTGGTCATCTTTTAACATTTTAATGTCTTCACCAGAAATCCAAAATTTGGTTTGTTTTACTGAAGGTCACAAATAGCAAAATCTTGAAGTCGACCAGAAAAGACGTTCTCTAGTAACTAATTTGACTCCAGCGATTCGACTTTTTTTTCATTATTTCAGAAAAATTGCAGTTTTTCACCTTCTCGTTGCACCTTCTACGTTGTCAATAATATTATGAAGCCAATTAGAAGCATTCATTAGTTACTAAATAAAAATAAATGTCCTCTTCAATAAAACTGGTGAACTGGGGCTTATGCAGCCAATGGCAACATGAGCCTTGTGATCAGGAAACCACACCATTGGTGAGAATTGAAGCCAATCAGAAGCGTTAGTCTCCGGTTCTGGCATGGATTCCAATGATTCCAATATTTTTTTTTTGTTTTACTACACCAGTTAATATACCTGCATGCAGGCGAAACTTAATAGGTACTGTCCTGACACTAAGATGATCAGTGGTTCAGAAGAGCTAAACTGAAATTTATTTTAGGCGATTTAAAGGAGATAAACATTTCACACCGCATATTATATTGTTAAATCTGAGTTTCACTCTCTGCTTAAGTCGTATTTTTGGTAACTTTTTTGAAGGTCAAGGTATGTCACTGAGGATTATAGAAGTTTCCGGGCCATTCCATGATGCTTTGACTGGGTTCAACAACACTGGTCATAGAGCACATAAACATGCCCTTTACTCCAAGAATTTGGTACTCATTACTAAATACCTGTTGAAAAAAACTCATCCAAGATGAGTCGTTTTCGACTCATGAGCAAAATAAGATCAGAATGTTGGAGGGAGAAAAAAGCAAAGTCAGTCAACCTCTTCAAGGTACCCCATCGGGTCTAAATAACAAGGCAACTTATTAAAGATTCCAATTCTGGGTTACCTTCTTAAATGTAAATGTATAGCCTAGATATTTACAAAGCTATGTTTGAATTAGTTGTAGATAGACTAATTTAAAAACTGGCACGTATTTAAATTAACATATATTTAATTTATAGGAAGGCATCACGTGGTGCTCTCAAATATTACACCTTCCAGCCATCCACCATCTGCTCTCTCTGCCAAGCTCGCTCTTGGGCCTCTGTGTCATGGCATCTCAGTCGTCTTGTCAGAAGGCAGGATGGTAGGTAAGACACATAGGCAACTTTATTCCGAAACGTTACGCCTACACAGTGGGCTTCTTCAGTCGAGTACAGAAAGTAGGCAGGAGCAGCAGAGATGTGAAGACGATGTAATCAGTCCATCACCCTTGAAGTCGTAGAGTTGAGATTGTCAGTCACTGGAGAAGTTCTGTTCCAAAGTCTGGATATTGAGCCATATTGTGCGAAGCATAAAACACCATAAATGTGAAGTAGGCCTTGCTTGATGACCAGTGGAAGCCCATCACCAGTGGTCGCAGTATTCACCAGTCTCTCTACCTTTCACAGTTTATCAATGAAGGCAATGTTTAAATTAATTTCGACACTTATGCAACATATGGGAATCTTTATTGAAAAAACGTTTCGCCACACAGTGGCTTCATCAGTCCAGTACAAAGTAGAAATGGGTAAGGAGAGGAGTAGCCACCTCTCTGGCTTTCTTGTTTTCAAGGACTTCTTGTTTCCAAGGAATTTTTGTTTTCAGATCTGATATAGTCATCGTGTTTTCACTGTTCACTTAATATAATTACCGTAAATTAACCATATTAAGTATTGCACACTTGTACCTTTTGAGTTACACTGTGAACAGTAAAGAGTTTATCTTAACGGTTGTAATTGTCTGTTAATGTCTGGGGAACATGTATTTAGCAAGGTTCTCTTTCATAAAATACCACAGTTACGTCTCGGTAATTCCATCTTTCAGTGTTGCCAGATTGAGCTACAAGTAGCAAATTGGGCTACTGTCGCTGTTCCTTCTCTACTAAATTTGGACTGCGCTACTTACAACGTTTTGCATTTATTAAAATACATTTGGACGACGAATATACTTATGCAATGTGAACAGACAAATTCCTGATTTAGAGGTACTAGCTGCAAAATGTTTAGTATTCTGTTATCCATTCCAATTTAAGTACATGACTGCCTCCAGCAGGCATAAATCGGACATTTGACTCAGCGCGAGCGGCGTTTGTACTTCGATTATTTAACAGTGGAGAAGATTGGAGTAAGGAACATTATATTCACTCACTAAGTGATTAAATAAGGTTTATATACGAGGATTGCTCAAGACTCTAGAGTAAAAGATTCTCTGTTTTCTAAAGTTGTTTACTGATGTGAAAATGATGGCACGAAAACTTTCTGTAAAGTCCGTAAAACCTAAATTGTAGCCCATAGAAGTGATTCAAACAAATATTGTGAATCAGTAAAGCATAACCAAAACATGTCCAAGATAAATAATAAGGAAATGAGTATGAAAACTGTTCTTGTAAAGAAGTAAGACCAACTTACAAAATAAGACAGAGTTCTCAGTATTATGTTGCCTGCCACTCATTCATTCAGTCTACTGACTATTTAAGTAATATTTTGAAGAAGGAAATGCACAGAATGAAATATACAGTTCCCATAAAGAAGATATCATCAGCGTTGTTTGATGAACAATCATGTGATTTCAAAGGTTCATTTTTTATCTCATAATAGATGAATGAATATATATTGCAATTTCGTATGTTATTATAGTACTATGCAAAATAAGACTGTTTCTCAGTACATTACGACTCCCTGGGGGGACTCCCTGGGGGGACTCCCTGGGGGACTCCCTGGGGTGGGACTCCCTGGGGTGGGACTTCCTGGGGTGGGACTCCCTGGGTGGGTCCTGGGGACTCCCTGGGGTGGGACTCCCTGGGGGACTCCCTGGGGGGACTCCCTGGGGGGACTCCCTGGGGGGACTCCCTGGGGTGGGACTCCCTGGGGTGGGACTTCCTGGGGTGGGACTTCCTGGGGTGGGACTCCCTGGGGTGGGACTTCCTGGGGGGACTCCCTGGGGGACTCCCTGGGGGGACTCCCTGGGGGGACTCCCTGGGGGACTCCCTGGGGGGACTCCCTGGGGGGGACTCCGGGGGGGACTCCCTGGGTGGGACTCCCTGGGGGGACTCCTGGGGGGACTCCCTGGGGGGACTCCCTGGGGGGACTCCCTGGGGGGACTCCCTGGGGGGACTTCCTGGGGGGACTCCCTGGGGGGACTCCCTGGGGGGACTCCCATGGGGGGACTCCCTGGGGGGACTCCCTGGGGGGACTCCCGGGGGGACTCCCTGGGGGGACTCCCTGGGGGGACTCCCTGGGGGGACTCCCTGGGGGGACTCCCGGGGGGACTCCCGGGGGGACTCCCTGGGGGGACTCCCTGGGGGACTCCCTGGGGGGACTCCCTGGGGGGGACTCCCTGGGGGGACTCCCTGGGGTGGGACTCCCTGGGGGACTCCCTGGGGGACTCCCTGGGGGACTCCCTGGGGGGACTCCCTGGGGTGGGACTCCCTGGGGGACTCCCTGGGGGGACTCCCTGGGGTGGGACTCCCTGGGGGACTCCCTGGGGGGACTCCCTGGGGTGGGACTCCCTGGGGGGACTCCCTGGGGGGACTCCCTGGGGGGGACTCCCTGGGGTGAGACTCCCTGGGGGACTCCCTGGGGGGACTCCCTGGGGGACTCCCTGGGCGGGACTCCCTGGGG